TTTGCGATTGTGAACCGTTTAGCTTGTGAAAACAACATTCTTTGATGAATATATAATTTCCAACTAGGGAATTATTACTAACAAAATTACTAAATAAATTATAAAACAGGGCATTAATATTCTTTTAAATTCATCAATTTAACTGATTCACAAAAATAATAAACAATTTTGTGCTTCTCCACTTATCTCAAAGTAAGTTATGTCACAGTGACTACTTATTTGCAATTGAAGACATTTCTGAAAAAGGGGTCCATTAGCTGAGAAAAGCGGATTGAGTAAACTACGTCAGAAGTTTAATTTCAATCTTCCCAATATATTTGTCTGTCTGATTTGTTAATTATGTAACTCTTTGAAACGAAATTTTAGAAGAACATTTTCGGACGTACGACAGTTACATGAAAACGATTTATCGAAAAATGGTCCGTACATCTGCAGACCCTTTTTCCGGAAACGTCTTAAATCGTTTTCCGCGGGAAGGAGGGGGTATATTTTAGCACAACGTTGGTGGCAAGAGCCACGCACAACGTGGCGGGCGACGTGCGTCTGTCGGTGGTCAGGCGAGGTATAGAAGAATATCGAATGCGTTCCGTAGGATGCAGGGGGTGGCGAGTTAGCGGAGAGGAACCGGTGAGCTGCCGCCGCAGCTCCGACGAGAACGAGGGAGACCGACCGAGAAACGACGGTGGGGCGCGTAGGCTCGAACGAAAGCAGTCTGAGGCGAGAGAAGCACCGGTACAGAACCCGAGAGACGGAGCGCGCGCGTGAGCGTCGTCGGGTAGAGAATCGGCCGAGCCGAGCCTGTTGGACGAACAGAGAGAGAGATAGAGCGAGCGAGCCGAAAGAGAGGAAGGGAGGCGGGCGGCGCGTGACCCGCTACGAGAAAGAGAGAGAAAATCCGGTTGCCTGGCGACGAGCCATCTAGTTCGATCCCAGCCAGCAACCGACCAGCCACCCTCTCTGGCCGCAGGAGCAACGAGAGAACCGAACTACCTACCTCGGTTACTTCCCTTTCCTCTTCGTTCTCAAGGAACACCCGGTCCCTATTCGTCGTCATCGCACCCTCCGCTCGTTTCTTCGACTCTTCTTAGCCCGACCCGTTTCCTTTCTCACTGAAAACGGGAACGACACTTCAGTGTGTTCCTCGAGCACATCGCGTAACAAACGACACATACGCAGAAATTTCGGTTCGCTTGGGAGGATAAAGTGCGCGGGTTTCAAGGCCGAGAAACGAACGAAAGAAACGGTTGGTCGGGTCGGTGGGGTCGAGTGCGTCGTACGCTCTGTGTGCTGTTCCGTGCTTGCCTAACCGAACTGTACCTGTCTGCCTGTTGGACGCGAATTTCCACACGTAATACAACGCGAACATTCCGTTTTGTATTTCGAGGATGGGAACAAGTGATTGGCCGGCCGTCGGCCCCAGGCTCTCGGGCTGAAAACGAAACGACAGCTGTGTGTGTCCGAACTGAGGGAGAGCCGAAGGACCGATCGAGAATAAAAAGAAAGAGCAGAGAAAGAGAGAGAAAGAGGAAACTGTGCACGGTGCGAAAGCGGGGGTGTTTTAGCGTAAGGACACATGTGCACAGAAAACTCGAGGGAGACGGTTACCGTGGAAATGACGGATATCGAGGAGAAAGCGGACCGATAATCGAATCGAAGAGACACGGCGTTTAAGCCGCCCTTGAAAACGAATATGATACCCGATCATCTTCCAAACTCTTCGCAAAACGCTGCCCCGTGGTAGCGCCAGTGCCCGGTGTCCTTTGACGGATAGCAAACCATCGACAAAGACAACTGAGGTACACGTTGAAATCATCACGCAACTCGGGGACACACAACAGACCGAGGCAAAGTATAATTGGAACAGAAATTAGATCGATGTCAATCACGAGACCGATCGATTTTCTTGGAAAGGAACCACGGTCCCTCCCGATGCTGCATTTCCCGGGGCTAACCCGTTGAAAGAACCCCGGAAACATTTGCCAAGAAATTCGTAATTTACGTTGTCGGGAGCTCGTTCCAGATTCGCCGTGCATCGGAAAATCTTGCCGGTGCAACGTCGTGGAAGTGGATCGAGTCGCGGAATCGATCCTCAGTTTAATCTGCGTGTGCCCTCTAGGGATATTTCTCCTAAAGAAGACGCGTAGGGGAGAAGGCGGCCGGGTACTTAGTGAAGAGGTCCAATCGAATTCGCGTGTTTTGTTATTTTTTCTTCGTTCGCGTCACTTCGAAGCCTCTCCTGGTTAGGAAGATTGCCGGATCGAGATCCACGCCTAGATCGGCAACATGTTCCAGTGCATTATACAACAGAGAAACGGATGGATTCATCCTTATAATCCTGACACGAAGGACGTCTTTCCAGGTACGCTTCAGATAGGTTTGTTACTTTCTTGTGTCGAATTCTAAATCCGACAAAAAGATGGAAGAACGAAATATTTTTGTTGAATTATTATTATTAGTTTTTAATACGGCATAGAAAGCTGTTGCTGTAAATACGTGTGAATAATTAACTTCTGTTTAGCATTTTGTAAATTTGTTTACGTTCAGGCGATAGTTGCACGAGTTGTTTTTAATCGTTCACCGGTTTCACTTCTCAACGCGTATCCTCGTTCATCGGATCATCGTCTTCGTTTCTGTCGCGCATATGGAAATCATTCTCTTTTCTTTCATTCGTTTGCATCATATTGTTTCGTTTCGGGTTTTTGTATCCATTGTATTTTTCCAATCCCCCCTTCGATGTTGTCTCCAACTACGAAGATTTTCTTCGCTTTTGAGGTTGCAGCAGAGAAGTGATTGATTTTTTCCTGTGTAATTTTGTTGAGTGGAATAGTTGAGATTAAAGAATCGTATTGTTATTGTTAGTATACAAATCCATGTTTCAACCAATTGTTTATTAAAAGGATTCCGCATTTTCTGGACTTATTTTTTGGTTATGTTCGGTGGAGAATATTACTGTTTTTAATTACGTATTTTATACGGAATATTATAGAATATGTACTTATGTATATATAACTTTTCTTAGCAGACTGATGTTACGCAAACGTGACTTCCGCTGATCTTAGGTCTATTGTACTAAAACTAAATTAAAATATTAATTGTCGACATTTCGTATATGACCAAAAGTATTTCTAAATAATAACACAGAAAAGATGTTATAGAATTGATACTTAAAATAATGACAATGTAATTGATACCTAAAGTATTATGAACATAATATTTGTAATACTTATTATGATTTTTTTTAAATGTTAAGTATTTTCAATGAACTTTTTAAACGTTATTGTGTACACGGTTGTAAATTCGTTGTATTTCGTTTTTCTCTACGTCTTCTGATACACAGAAGTAACATTCTTCTTGTATGAAAATGTCGTCTATGTAGCAACTCTTTGAACTGCTATGCTAGGTATTCCTAAAATTGTCGTTGAATTTTTCAACGTCGTTCGCTACAAGAAATCGTTTCGCTCAACCGTTACGATTCCTTGCACGATAAATCGTAATGCGTTCGGACTCCTTTAGACGCTGGAATTACTACAGCTTTTTCGCTGTCGTAAGCTGTAACGGTCTGTTGAAATAGAATTTCGGATCGTATGTCTGTTCGACGAACCAATATGTTCTCGTTACCATATGGCGTACCGACGGTGAAGCACAGTTTCCGGTTGGGCCGACAGTCGCAAACACCCTCGGTATCGTGTACCCATATCCTTTGAAAAATCAAAGTCTTTTTGGTGGCTTCAGCCACGTCCTGCGGCATTGTGACTCGTTTTCAATCGAGTATCCATCAAAAGTTGTACACTTAACCTGTATCTATTCACTTGAGCTGTATATGTCTATGATGACTTAAGTTAAACTCTTTGTTTTATGACTTGAGACACTCAGATGCTAAAGAACTTACCTCCACAAAATGAAAAATAGCCAAAATTCATGATAAAAAACAAATTAAGGGGTTCGGCATAAAAATTTGATATATTTAAGAAAAGTTAGGAATTTTAACGCATAACGATTCATTTATCTTATAGCTACATTCGATAGAATCATTTTCTCGTTAATAATTTACTGAAA